CGTCGCAATCTGCAAAGCCGGCGTTCGCTCGCTCAGACCCTGGAGTTCGACGGTCCCCCTTTAAAGTATGATTGTACTGACGCCGATGTTGAGATCGTCTCGTGTTCATATCTCTCAACTTCGTGTACCTTCCGGAAACTAGGCTCCGAGTGGACCTGCTCTTTCTCACTCTTGCCGACGACCTATTTTGTCGTTTCCGTCCAGTTGTTGGTCACTTCTGTCGGCTTATAGCTGTTACGCCTATTCTTATTCTGATTCTGATATCCCTTCTTCCCCTTATAGTTCTGTTGTTGGCCGTTATTGCCGTTCACCCGGTTTCTTTCGCGAGCTCTTCGCGTATATGTTGAGTGGTCTGTCGAGGGTGCCGGACTCCATTCTTTTCATCGTGGCATCTTTGCCGTATGCGATGATTGATATTAACAGTCGGTCCCTCTGTCGTTGTGATATAACTCCTTCGTTGCGTATAGTATCCAACGCGTCGATCAGTACTTCGGAGTTCTCAATTAACGGGTGGTAAACGGCCTGCGAGATGATGCGTAGCTTCATCTCAAAAAGCTTGGGTATGGTGGTCTTCTTCTGTTTTAGTTGTGCGATTAGTGACATTGGGTCGAATATAAGATCTCTATATCCTTCACTGCCTCAAATCCATAGCGCTGGTCGTTGTCATGGCGTTGCCGTGGTTCCGAATCGAAGCTACTGTATGCGGATGAGTCATCTCGCATTACCTCTTCTAACCCTCGAGTAGGTTGTCTCGGGGGTCTCGGCATCGGTGGTGGAATATACTGTTTGGATTGCGATGAGGTAGAGTTCTGTTTCGAAAACGTGGGTGGAGCGTTCTTCTGGGCATCCCTAAACTCCCTGGTAGTCAGTAATGGAGTTAAGTCTAGTTGTGGGATGGCTTTTTTGTTTAAGTCACTCACCATTGCCTTGAACTTTCTCACCCAGTCTGGATGACAGGTCTCTAAGTACTTATCTCGTACTTCTATTAGGTCCTCAAGGGCAATCTTTTCTCCAGAGCCCGAGTCTCCAGCAACTTCAGAGGAATGAGTTGAAACAACGACATGTCTAAGCACTTCTCCTCCTTGCATTTGCGAAAGAACTCCGCATACACTTGTTCAGGTACCGATCCGACAGCTACCGATCCGACTCACAGACAGAAGAGATAGCAGCAACAACCGGTTAGTATGCCTTCGTAGCCAGTGGGGTGAGCGACAACCGCTTACTAAGCGAATGTTCTGCCCCTAAAAACCCCCAAAAAG